TATTCTCAGTCCATATTCCCCACCTTATATATTCTCAGTCCATATTCCCCACCTTATATATTCTCAGTCCATATTCCCCACCTTATATATTCTCAGCCCATATTCCCCACCTTATATATTCTCAGTCCATATTCCCCACCTTATATATTCTCAGTCCATATTCCCTACTTTATGTATTCTCAGTCCATATACCCTACCTTATATATTCCTTTGTCCTAATTTGCTTGGTTTTTGTTGTTGTTGTTTGGCTTGTTTGTTTCTTTTTCAGAACTTACTTACTCTGTAGACCAGGCTGGCCTTGAACTTAGAGATTCACCTGCCTCTGCCTCCCAAATGCTGGGATTCTAGGCACACACCATCACTTCCCCACCCACTAATAAAGTATGACTAGAAGCAACTTGGGGAGGAAAGAGTTTGTTGAGCTTCCCTTTCTGACCAGACCTGCAGGCAGAGGCCACGGAGGAATTGCTGCCCTCTGACTGCTCTCCAGGCTGCACGCAGCTGTCTTCTCTTTTCTTTTTTCTTTCTTGAAAAAAGGTCTCACTGTGTAGCCCTGGTTTTTCTTGAACTCATAGAGATCTGTTTGTCTCAGCCTTTTGAGCACTGGGATTAATTGACATTGTTCCGCTATACCTATCAAGTTTACACATCCCAGGACCAACCACATGCCAGGAATGACACTGCCTATAGTGGGGTAGGCTCTCCTACACCAGTTATCAATCAAGAAACTGTCCCCACAAACTTGTCTATAGGCCAGTTCGATGGAGACATTTTTACCTCTTCGCTGATGCCTCTAGTTTGTATGAAGTTGACAAAAAAAAAAAAGCTAATTAACCATATTTTTTACAAATATCTTTATTGTTTACGTTTATTTATTCTGTGTTTGTGTGTCTGGGGAGTATTTGTGTGCCATGGAATAAGTGGTGGCTAATGGGCCCTTAGTTGCTCTCCTCCTCACCATGTGGGTTCCGGGCATCAGGGCCTTCACCCACGTTACTGCCTTTATTCACTGATTCTCAGTGGCCCCCATGTGTTCCTTTTTCAGGACACCTTGTTTACTATAATCTGTTGAGTCATTTGCTGAGCTCACAGCCAGCACCACCGTGACTCATTCCAGAACAAAGCTTGTGAGCCACACGTGTTCCAATGAAGCACATCGTGGCCTTTCCGTGCGGTGCAGTGTCACACAGACCTTATCAGTGTGCTTGGTGTCATTTAAAGCTATGCAGTCCCCAAGCAAAAACAAAAAAGAGACCAGTTTTTACATTCCTAGCAGTAAGTAGACCACGGAAGGACACTTAGGGGAGCTGACACCAGAAGGCCACAGGGTCTGTTGGACCCAGACTGGGAACATGTGCTGGTGCTGGTGCAAATCTGTGAACAGCTACAGGAGTACTAGGTGTGTTGGTGCAGGGGTTGTAGGGAGTCACAGCAAGTAGATGAGTGCACACAGACTGAAGAACTGGGCGACAGACAGACAGACAGCACTGGGCTAGAACTCACCAGGCACAGTACTCACTTATTGTACGTGAGACCTTGGGCTCATCCCCAGCTCCAAACAACCCAGGCACTGTGGTACACACCTCTAATCTTAGCACTTGAAAGTGGTAACGGGAGGTTTATCATTTAAAGTAGGGGGTTGGAGAGATGGCTCAGTAATTAAGAACACTTAATGCTCTTCCAGAGGACTTGAGTTCAATTTGTAGCACCCACGTCAAGTAGTTCACAAATGCCTGTAACTCCAGCACCAGGGATCTGATACCCTCTTCAGACCTTCAAAGAAACCTGTATGAACATGGCTCTCTCTCACACACACATACACACACACCTAAATAAAAAATAAACTTTAAAAGTAAAAAAGAAATTCAAAGTAATGAGTTTGAAGCCAGCCAGGGATGCATGAGATCCTATCTCAGAAAAGAAGAAAAGAAAGAAAAAAAAAGGTGTGGGGGGCTTGCAAAGGCTCTTGCTATGCAAACCTGGCAACCCGAGTTGTCTAGAACCTGTGAAAGTTAAAAGGGAAGAACTGACAGAAAACTCGTCCTCTGACTTCTGCATCTGTTCTGTGGGACTTGAACCCCGGCTTTTCCCCCAATAGAAATTATCAGGAAACTGCACACCTTTAATCCCAGCATGATGTGGAGGCAGATCTCTGAGTTTTAGGCCATCTTGATATATATAGAGAGGTCTAGGCCAGGCAGGGCTGCACAATGAGATTCTGTTTCAAGAAAAAACAATGTGCGTATGTGTGCGTGTGTGTGTGCGTACGCACTCGTCCTGGGAGATCTATATCTATAGATATAGATATAAATTCACAAAATAGGCGGTTAGGGAGATGGCATGCTGGGTCAGGTGCTTCGGTGCTTGCCATGTAAGGGTGAGGATCTGAGTTTGGATCCTCAGCTCTCAAGTAAAGATGGCTGCTGTGGTGCACATCTGTAATACCAGGTGAGATGAGAGGTGGAGACAGGAGAGTCCCAGGATGCTCACAGACAGATGGTCAGTCATAGACATTTACTTCTCAGTTTATGAGTTTGCTGGCCATTGTGCTTGCATCCAGCTCAGTAGGTCTCTGTGGGTCTGACATCTAGGTTGAGGGATGGCTTCATCTATACATCTCATTACTGGCTCGATGTGAGCTGGGGTAATAGAGGTGACTTGGCACCTTTCATCATGCAGCAAGCTAGCCTAGGCATGTTCCTAAAAACAGCCTTAGAAGGCAGGCCCCAGCACTAGGACCTAGGGAGTCTCCGCTGTTGTGACACTGCTCTTGTACCATTGGACAAAGCAGAGTCACAAGGCTGCAGGTAGAGTCAGTGGCAGGGCACACCCAAAGGTGTTGGTGCAGGGAGGATGTAGAAATGAGACTTCATGTCTCTAATAAGCCCACATCACATATACAGAAAAGGTTTGGTCATAATTGCTTTGCTGGCTGGAGTGTAACTCAGTTCCAGAGTGTCTGCTTAGCTTGTGAGGCCCTGTGTTCTAGCCTCAGCACTAACTCATTAAAGGCTCTCCTGGGGGCTGGTGAGATGGCTCAGTGGTTAAGAGCACTGACTGCTCCTCCAGAGGACCTGGGTTCAATTCCCAGCACCCACATGGCAGCTCACAGCTGTCTGTAAATCCAGTTCAAGAGAATCTGACATCATTATACCAATATGCATGAAATAAAGTTAAATAAAGTTTTTTTTTTAAAAAAAAGGCTCTCCTGAATAGCATTCAGTATAAGATAGCCAATAGCCAGCATCCCAAGGCAGAGAGAAGCATGGCTGTCCTTCTAGGGCAGCCACATTCATGGTCACCAGGAGTATAGATGAGTTTTGCCAATCTTTAAAGGGCCTGTCCATAACATTTTCTGGGTGTATTTTTTTTCTTCTCCTTCTCCCTTCCTCCCTTCTCTCCTCCCCCTCCATCCCTCTTTCCCTCCCTCCATCTATCTCTTCCTTCCAAGACAAGGACTCACTATATAGATATAGCTCTGACTGGCTTGGAATGAATGTAGGCCAAGTTAGCCCTGAATTTACAGAGATCCACCTGCCTCTGCCTCCCAAGTGCTGGGATTAAAGGTGTGTTCCATCATGCCTGGCCTAAACGCCTTTTATAATTTCAAGTAACAGAAAAATGAAACCAAAGCTGAACATGATGGCTCGTGTACACTTGGGAGGCTGAGACAGGAAGATTGCCTGGGTTATGTTGTGAGTTCCGGGCCAACCCAGAGTGAGACAAAGTCTTTTGTTTTGTTTTGTTTTTGTTTTGAGACAGGTTTTCTTAAGATTTATTTACTTATCATGTGTACAGTATTCTGCCTGCATTTATGCCTGCAAACCCGAAGAAAGCACCAGATCTCATTACAAATGGTTGTGAACCACCATGTGGTTGCTGGGAATTGAACTCAGGATCTCTTTAAGAACAGTCAGTGCAAAATAAAAAGAACAATCAGTGCTCTAAACCTCTGAGCCATCTCTCCAGCCCTCTCTATAGCTTTTGAGTTTGTTCTGGAACTCACAGAGGTCCACTTAAGATTAAAAGTGTGCAACGCACAACACCACCACCTGGCTGAGACAAAGTCTTTATAAAGAAAAATCCTGTCATAAGTGATAAGAACTGGGGGGGATGGAGAGATGGCTCAGTGGTTAGGACCACTGACTACTCTTCCAGAGGACCTAGGTTCAATTCCCCGCACCTACATGGTAGCTCACAACAATCTGTACTCGAAGATCTGACACCCTCTCAAAGACATACACACAGGTAAAACACCAATGCACATAAAATAAAAATAAATTATTGTTTAAAAAAAACGAGGACTGTGGAACAAAACTTGCCTTGGGTCAAGGTAGCAGAAGTTAAAGGTGTCCTGATGGCGTAGGATGGTAGAGGAGTTTTTTCTGAGGAGTCGGACATGATAAGCTGGTGCCTGAGAATATGAAGATACCTTCCAGGTTCCTGTGCATCCTTTACATCATGAGGATGGAGCACTCACGAGGTGACTGCAGCTGCTTCTTCCTGATTCAATCTAGTGCTTTCCCTTGGCAGCCAGGCTCAACACTGTTGGGTTGAGAACTCACTCCTAGACTGTTCTTTTTTTTTCTCACTGCTGTTTTCCAGCCCCTTCTCCAGGGTACCCGCAGCATGACTGGACTCACTTCTTTCCTCCCACAGCTGCTTCTCGAATGATCACCAACAGCCTGAACCATGACTCTCCACCCCACACTCCGCCAAGGCGCTCAGACACCAGCAGCTCCAAGATCTCTGTCACCGTGTCTAACAAGATGGCAGCGAAGAGTGCCAAGGCTGCCGGTGAGGGCTCTTGGGCAGAACTGCAGGGGGATATGGGTGAGCAGGTGTGTGTGTGTGTGTGTGTGTGTGTGTGTGTGTGTGTGTGTGTGTGTGT